CAAAATAAAGCGTGCCTATCTATATAATGAATATAAACTAGGTGGGTTGAGATTATTAAATCTAAAAGCACTAAACCTCTCTCTAAAAGCTTCACTTATCCAAAAGATTTTCTTGAACCCTAAATGGTTCTCAAGTAGATTACTAAGAAAAGCTCATCCATTATTTGCCTTTGTGCAGATTGCCATGTCTCATTTTTGATTAATTGAAAATGAAACTTTTTTCAAAGTATCTCTATTTTTCAAACAAACATTGCAGAGGCTACAATTTCAATTTCATCCCCTTGAAAAGGTAGAACAAATATTACAATAAATATTATGGCTGAACTCAAATGTGCTGGTTGATAAAATAACTGTATTTATGGAAAATATGTTTGAAAAGGGTATTTTGTTTTTAAATGAAGAGTTATGTCTTTCATGGAGTTATCGGAATTGTATGGGAAGGTCTGCTCAATCCAAGATTAGAACCAATTGATTACAGCATTACCCTGAAAATGGAGGAGGCAGGTGGCAGCGGGAGGAGGTAGGGAATTGGTCTGTCTGCTCAAATAAAGGATCAAAACTGGCAGAGGAATAAAAATAGCATAAATAGGAAAGTATACCAGTTTCATTTGAGGACCAGGATGTTGATAGCTGTGCCATACAGATTGCAAAATAGTTGGGAAGAGATTTCTGATGTTCCGATTCCATGGTACAGGGTGTACGAGTTGATATATATAAAACGATGCAAGATTCAAGACTTCATGCTTTTCAGCTAAAATTCTTGTACAGAATTCTTGCCACCAACAAAATGTTGAATATTTGGGGCATACAATCATTGCAGCTCTGCAGATTTTGTTGTGAGGATACAGAATGAACAGACTATTTGTTTTGGTATTGCCCTCAGGTAGCCTGTTTCTGGTCTCAGGTTCAGGAAGGGATGAAAATGCATAACATTGATCTAAAATTGACACTAGAAATAGTATTGTTGAGAGATCTGGAGAGACCGGATCAGTCAATTACTAATATACTAATACTCTTAGTAAAAGTATTTATCTTCAACTCGCAATCTGTGGATTCTATTCGATTAGAGAGATTGAAATTGTATGTTAAACATCACTGCATGGTTGAAAGATATATGCTGCCTAGAAATCCGAAGAGGGTGGCCAGCAGAGATAGGTGGGATGGGCTTAGGGAAGCTGACGGTTGGGATGTGGAATTGTAGACAAGTGGGAGTGGTTGCTGGGCGGGGGATAGAAGGACAGTCCGAGATAAAAGTAAAAAATAAAGTCAAAATAAAACAGAACAAAAAGTACATTTGAATGACATTAAGGGGCAGTGCTGTGTTTGTACACATGCATATACACACACTCTCATTCAAATTGAATTATTTTATTTTTCTCGGGGGGGGGGGGGGGGGGGGGGGGGGGGGTGGTGTCTTGGAGGGCTGGTGGCCTGGCGGTTGGGAGCTTGGGCCGGTGGCTGATGGGTCGCTGGTTCGGGTCCCTGTTTTTGACCTTATGGGAGATCTGTCGACGTGCCCTTGAGCAGGGCGTTGACGCTGGATGCTTCTGTGTGTCGCTCTGGATGGGAGTCTGTTAGATGACTAATGTGATGTAGATGTTGAGCGGCTTCACTGCAAGTAGATTGTATGTTTTAAATATTCAATAATACCAAAAAATATATTTAAAAATAACAAAGTGTCTTAATAGGCCGTTGGGCCACCACGAGCCTCCAAAACAGCTTCAATGCACCTTGTCATAGATTCTACAAGTGTCTGGAACTCTATTGGAGGGATGCACGCCATTATTCCACGAGAAATTCCATAATTTGGTGTTTTGTTGATGGTGGTGGAAAATGCTGACTCAGTCGCCACTCCAGAATCTCCAATAAGTGTTCAATTGGGTTGAGATCTGGTGACTGAGACACACACGCAAACTTTAACCCCCTATGCTCCTTTGAGACCCCTCTTTCAAAGTCACTGAGATCTCTTCTTCTAGCCATGGTAGCCAAAATAATAGGCCACTGTGCATTTTTATACATGACCCTAAGCATGATGGGATGTTAATTGCTTAATATACTCAGGAACCACACCTGTGTGGAAGCACCCCTTACTTTTTTCAATCTTTACTAACGACATGCCACTGGCTTTGAGTAAAGCCAGTGTGTCTATGTATGCGGATGACTCAACATTATACATGTCAGCTACCACAGCGACTGAAATGACAGCAACACTTAACAAAGTGCTGCAGTTAGTTTCAGAATGGGTGGCAAGGAATAAGTTAGTTCTAAATATTTCAAAAACTAAAAGCATTGTATTTGGGACAAATCACTAAACCCTAAACCTCAACTAAATCTTGTAATGAATAATGTGTAAATTGAGTAAGTTGAGGAGACTAAATTGCTTGGAGTAACCCTGGATCGTAAACTGTCATGGTCAAAACATATTGATACAACAGTAGCTAGGATCGGGAGAAGTCTGTCTATAATAAAGTGCTGCTCTGCATTCTTAACAGCACTATCTACAAGGCAGGTCCTACAGGCCCTAGTTTTGTCGCACCTGGACTACTGTTCAGTCGTGTGGTCAGGTGCCACAAAGAGGGACTTAGGAGAATTGCAATTGACTCAGAACAGGGCAGCACGGCTGGCCCTTGGATGTACACAGAGAACTAACATTAATAATATGCATGTCAATCTCTCCTGGCTCAAAGTGGAGGAGAGAGTGACTTCATCACTACTTGTATTTGTGAGAGTAATTGACATGTTGAATCCACCGAGCTGTCTGTTTGAACTACTGGCACACAGCTCGGACACCCATGCACCCATGCATACCCCACAAGACCTGCTACCAGAGGTCTCTTCACAGTCCCCAAGTCCAGAACAGACTATGGAAGGCGCACAGTACTACAGTGAGGGGAAAAAAGTATTTGATCCCCTGCTGATTTTGTACGTTTGCCCACTGACAAAGAAATTATCAGTCTATACTTTTAATGGTAGGTTTATTTGAACAGTGAGAGACAAAATAACAAACAAAAAATCCAGAAAAACGCATGTCAAAAATGTTATAAATTGATTTGAATTTTAATGAGGGGAAATAAGTATTTGACCTCCTCTCAATCAGAAAGATTTCTGGCTCCCAGGTTTCTTTTATACAGGTAACGAGCTGAGATTAGGAGCACACTCTTAAAGCGAGTGCTCCTAATCTCAGCTTGTTACCTGTATAAAAGACACCTGTCCACAGAAGCAATCAATCAATCAGATTCCAAAATCTCCACCATGGCCAAGACCAAAGAGCTCTCCAAGGATGTCAGGGACAAGATTGTAGACCTACACAAGGCTGGAATGGGCTACAAGACCATCGCCAAGCAGCTTGGTGAGAAGGTGACAACAGTTGGTGCGATTATTAGCAAATGGAAGAAACACAAAATAACTGTCAATCTCCCTCGGCCTGGGGCTCCATGCAAGTTCTCACCTCGTGGAGTTGCAATGATCATGAGAACGGTGAGGAATCAGCCCAGATCTACACGGGAGGATCTTGTCAATGATCTCAAGGCAGCTGGGACCATAGTCACCAAGAAAACAATTGGTAACACACTACGCCGTGAAGGACTGAAATCCTGCAGCGACCGCAAGGTCCCCCTGCTCAAGAAAGCACATATACAGGCCCGTCTGAATGAATGATTCAGAGGAGAACTGGGTGAAAGTGTTGTGGTCAGATGAGACCAAAATCGAGCTCTTTGGCATCAACTCAACTCGCTGTGTTTGGAGGAGGAGGAATGCTGCCTATGACCCCAAGAACACCATCCCCACCGTCAAACATGGGGGTGGAAACATTATGCTTTGGGGGTGGAAACATTATGCTTTGGGGTTGTTTTTCTGCTAAGGGGACAGGACAACTTCACCGCATCAAAGGGACGATGGACAGGGCCATGTACCGTCAAATCTTGGGTGAGAACCTCCTTCCCTCAGCCAGGGCATTGAAAATGGGTCGTGGATGGGTATTCCAGCATGACAATGACCCAAAACACACGGCCAAGGCAACAAAGGAGTGGCTCAAGAAGAAGCACATTAAGGTCCTGGAGTGGCCTAGCCAGTCTCCAGACCTTAATCCCATAGAAAATCTGTGGAGGGAGCTGAAGGTTTGAGTTGCCAAACGTCAGGCTCGAAACCTTAATGACTTGGAGAAGATCTGCAAAGAGGAGTGGGACAAAATCCCTCCTGAGATGTGTGCAAACCTGGTGGCCAACTACAAGAAACGTCTGACCTCTGTGATTGTCAACAAGGGTTTTGCCACCAAGTACTAAGTACTAAGTCATGTTTGTTATTCTGTCTCTCACTGTTCAAATAAACCTACCATTTAAAATTATAGACTGATCATTTCTTTGTCAGTGGGCAAACGTACAAAATCAGCAGGGGATCAAATACTTTTTTCCCTCACTGTACATAGAGCCATGACTATATGGAACTCTATTCCACATCAAGTAACTCATGCCAGCAGTCAAATTTGATTTAAAAAACAGATAAGAATACACCTTATGGAACAGCGGGGACTGTGAAGCAACACAAACATAGACACATGCATACAAACACATGATAACATACGCACTATACACACATGTACACATGGATTTTGTGTTATAGATATGTAGTAGTAGAGTAGAGGCCTGAGGGCACACACTTAATATGTTTTGAAATCTGTTATTAATGTATTGTAATGTTTTTAAAATGTATAACTGCCTTAATTTTGCTAGACCCCAGGAAGAGTAGCTGCTGCCTTGGCAGCAGCTAATGGGATCCATAATAAATACATATACAAATACCTGCTTTCAATATACTTTGTATCCCTAATTTACTCAAGTGTTTCCTTTATATTGGCAGTTACCTGTAGATTCCCTGTCTGTCTAAACTGACCATTCCTAGCACTGCATTCAGTATGACCATACCTAGCACTGTATTCAGTATACATACAGCCCTGCTTTTTACTTGTGCTCTTTTCATAACATTGCTAATCCTTTCTTGTAGGACCAGCACATCTCCACCGACTAGCAGGAAAGTGCTACAGTTACATAGAGTCCACGTAAGTACTGGGCAACTGAGCACCTACAAAATCAACACCTATCTGCTGCAGGGAGAACTTTATGGCAAAGTTTCGATCAAACTGTTTAGGACATATTTCTTCTCTGTACCAGTTTTCCAATTGGTTGATTCAACGCTAGTCAAAGCTGCTAGATGACATGTGTAGATAATAGGTATATTTGAGAATACATCTCTGTTGTTATTTTGTTTAGGTATAAATATGAATTCTGTCCATTCCACAACATCACCCAGCATGAGCAGTCATTCAGGTGGAATGCTTACAGTGGCATACTGGGGTGAGTGGATCCTCCACAGCACAATTTCAAACTGCACTCATCTTATCAGGTGAATTAGATTCATTGAAGCATGGTATCCTATGAATACATTATTTCCATTCAACATTTACACCCTTTGTCTTTCCAACAGAATCTGGCAGGAGTGGGAGATTGTGAACAACACCTTTTTGGCCATGTGGATGAGAGAAGGAGATGCCTGTGGGAATGAAAATAGGAGAACAAAGGTAATACATTGCTTGTGCTCATTCCTTCCAGAGGCCAACTTACAAAGCAGGATTGGTGAGCGTTTGTGAGTAGTACATTTACATTTACGTCATTTAGCAGACGCTCTTATCCAGAGCGACTTACAGTTAATGAGTGCATACATTTTTCATACTGGCCCCCCGTGGGAATCGAACCCACAACCCTGGCGTTGCAAGCGCCATGCTCTACCAACTGAGCTACAAGAGTATAACGTGCACTACCCAGTCAGCAAGCTTTGTGAAAGGCCTTTAAAGACATCGTAGAGTTGAATGTTGCTGTTACTGTTCTTGGTGGAAATATTTTTTCTTGTTTCACTAGGTCATTCTGACCTGCGGTGGAAGTAGCAAGTTGGCTCACGTGTCAGAGCCCACTACCTGTGTGTATTCTCTAACCTTTGAGACCCCACTTGTATGCCACCCGCATTCTCTCTTAGGTAAGACAAACAAAAGCAGGGACTCTTATATGAACATTTAAGATGGTGCTTGTTTGCGTTCTGAGTCACACTTGTGTCCTCTCATCAAGTGTACCCAACTCTGAGTGACAAGCTGCAGATGGAATGGGATGAAGCCGAACAAGCCCTCTATGAGAACCTCATTACTGAGCAGGTACGACGTTACTTACTAACATGGGTCCTGATAAAGCATTGACATTGCCCTGTCATAGCACATATATGAGTGTTGGAATACACAGGAGTGTAAAGGTGCTCGCAGACAGAAAGCGGCAGGCGGGGTGGCCTATTCATTTTCAATGAGGCGGGGGGTGGAATTCTATCCAGGCGGAGTGGTCGGCGGTGCTCGTGCACATGAAAGCCAATTTGGGCGATATCCACTCCGGAGTTTCGCTTCCTGTCTGGAAAGCGCTTAAGAAGTCCTCTAACGTGTAAATGTGTATTACAGGGCTACAATAATATACTGAGGGATATTTTTGAGGATGCTGGTTTCCTAAAGAGCCAAAAGGTAAAGGAGAAGCCGGAGATCACAACTACCTCAAAGACACATGATTCCTTGCAGAAATGCAATGAGGTAAGTTCACTGGAGAGAATCCAAAACCACTTGTGACCATGAGTAGTAATGGAAGCCCCGACATTTAGAGCTTTCAGCTAATGCTCTAGTCTAGCTTTCCATATACATGACATGTCATTGAGAAGTTGTATTTATTAAAAATTTCTACGGATGCTTGTTTTATACAGGACGTCCGTAAACAGAGTGAAGAGATTGCGAGATTGCAAGCTCTTCTCACTCAACATAACATTCCCCATGAGTCAAAGGCGGGTGAGTCTTAGCATTATTATTCATGTACTAGTCCATACTTCTCCATTAATAGATGTAGGAAAGGAATCCCTTCTTAAGTAACATGTTTTCTAACTGTAAGTCGCTCTGGATAAGAGCGTCTGCTAAATGACTAAAATGTAAAATGTTATGATTGCATTGGTCCATACAATGTTAACATGTTTGCACCCTTTCTTCTCTCTACGGACAGCTAAGGCGAAGATTCCAGTGACTGTGCAAAATCGGCACCTGAGGGGGGACAACGGCCTCATCGCAGACCTACTCTGAGGATCTCAGACATTTACACAAAATATTAATAATTGCAGACCACAAACTGGACAGCAGAGAAGGCAGATGTCACACAGTTAACATGCCAGTTCCACATTAGAGAATTCAAGTATTTAAAAAAATACAACTTTAGAGAATCAACCATGTTTTCTTGACTGTGACATTTACTCTGAGTGACAAGCTGCAGACTACCAGTAGTCTCCAATGGCATAGCTACATTCTTAGAATCATTGTTTTTCAACTCCATTGTCTGTCTAGACTGAAATCATACCTCTGCTATCAAAGGAAGGACGCTGAAGATTTAAATTGTTTGATTCAGATTTTTTTTTTTTTTAAGAAAATAAAAAGTTACAGCCTTGAGCAAATGCCAATTATTTTGTCATATGAGATTAAAAAGGTGCTTTAACCAACATATCGGATGACTGTCTGTGTGCACTACAGGCACATGCAAGTCAGTGGCAAGGGTTTCTTAGCTGGAAAGAGGACCCTATTCCATTGTGGTTCTTCTGAGGCATCTAGCTTGGTCTATTTGGTTCTGAAACTGCATAAGAACTCTTGGATGGATGACGTAAAGCGAAATGTCATCCTCCTCACAGGCTGCTTCTCGGAGGCTGTTTACACATTTTCTTATTTTTAACGGCAGTGGGGGATTTTGTTTTACATTTACATTTTACATTTTAGTCATTTAGCAGACGCTCTTATCCAGAGCGACTCACCATTGAAAGAATCTACATCGTCCAGTGGGACCTCCACCTTTGACAGCGCCTCACCACTACCATTGCTCTCACCTGGATAATAATCTTCTGACGATGGACTTCTCTGTTAATTGCTAGACACAAACCATGAATTTTGAGCCATTGAGGTAAAATGACAGATGAGGCACTGCATGTCTAAAAACTATGATACATTTTCGCCTCTGTTCTTTCTTCAGGGGAGGTATTATTTTTATATTGTGTATGTTGAGTTCGGAGAGAGTCCCATCTCTTCTTGTGTTCTTCCACTTAAAATCAAAGTGAAGTTGTAAAATTTAGGGCAGGGTATATTTTGTAAAGCCATAAGCAGGGCTACTCAACTCCAGGGGTGATCGTAGGGTATTCTCAGATTCTCCACACTTTTCCCCCCAAGTACCACGTGCATAGTATGCAGCATAGACCGTGCTATGCACTTGTATTGGTGGGCAGAGTCCTTTCGGTAAAACTGATTATTTGGCTCTTTAAGAGCCATTCATTTTGCTCCCAAATAGCTCTTCGTTAAAACATTTCCGTTAAAACATTTCCATAAAACTATCGGTATGAAAATAATGTTAATATCCAAAGTTAGGTTTAAAATTTTTTTTTCAGATTGTGCAATGCGAGTTCAAATACATTTTACCTGTACAAAACAGTAGACCCCCTACACAAAAATGAAGATATTAATTAAATGCACTACATAAATGAGTGCGGACCAGAATGAGGCTCTTGATCACAACTACCTGCAGGATGTGGAGTGATTTACCATCTTCAGATTTAATAAATCGTTGGCAGGCTTGCCTAGGTGATTCGGTTCCCGACATTCACCAAAAAGAGCTGTTCAAAAAGAGTTTGTTCGCGACCGACCCATCAGTAAATAGAGCTCTATAACGTTGGTTATGTAATGATAATGACTGCTATAGTTACAAAATGATGTGTGTATCTCTGTCGTTAAGATAGTATACTAGTAGGGATAACAGTTTACCCGTAATGCCCGGGGCCCGGTTTCCTGATAGCGATGGAATTTAGGCTTAGGCTTAGAGTGTTTTTAATGATGCATCTTTCCTATAATGGCCGAAGATGTAACATGCGTTTCCCAAAACACCACGCAGAGAGAACGGTCGCTAAAGTGCGTTGTTGGAGTGACGCATGAGGGCAAAAATCACTTATCTTCAACATATTTGGCTGGCTAGCAAAAAAACTTTAAAGCCATTTTTCTCAGTTTCCCTGTTGTCGGAGTTAATGTGTTTTGCCTTTTTAGGGCAGTATAGCCTACTGTTTATATTTTAATGTGGTCATCTCGATTTTCATTTGAGGCATCATTTTTACATCGCTTGTTTGTATCAATTGCAAAGACATTGGCAACTTTCTATTTGATGGTCACATAGAGATGGATAAACCATGTGATTCTATTCTTCAATTCTAACGACGCACTTAGCTGTTCTACCAGTAGTCTGAGGCAGACGTTAGATTACGAGCATTTTCAAGTGCAACGTTAATAACGATGGTTTTGGGAAACAAACTTTTACAGATGCACCATTGAGAGCATCCTGTCAGGCTGTATCCCCGCCTGGTACGGCAACTGCACCATCCGCAACCAAAGGGCTCTCCAGTGGGTGGTGCGGTCAGCCCAACGAATCACCAGGAGCACACTGCCAAAAAGGTGAATTGCCGCCACCAACTGGACGGGTTGAAACCAAAACAAGATAAAAAGAAAATCCATACGTGATAGGGAAACTAACTTAATCCACCCAAATAAAAATGGTACATTGACAAAACAAAACAACTCCCACTTCTTGCTTCTTTCAATTCTCCATATCTCCCTTCCCAGGCTCTAGGGCCTGAGAGGGTGGTACGGCTTGTGACAATATTCTATGTAACTCCTTCGCCGAGAAATCTTTCAGCCCCAGGAACCGCTCCGCCGCTTCCACAATGATTTCTATCTTCCTGGACCTTCTCTCCACCTTGGCAGTGCCATTTATCACCATAGCTATTAAGGCCACAAAGTCCAGCTTCGTAACCTTTAAAATGTCAGGATGATAGGTGCCTGCTGATGATAGGTAACCCCTGCAGTGAAGGCCTATCCACCACCATGGACTCTTCAAGTGCACCATTCAAACCCTCAACAGCTGCTGCATATGATATGCTCTGGATAGCCCTGAATTTGGCCACCTTATTCTCTTTCACCCTTGTGGGGCAATCGAAAGACGTGGCTTCACGGTTCCCACCACAATTGCAACATGTCACATTTTCATCACTTTTATAACACATAATATGATATTTTCCACAACTTGGACATATAGGCTTCTCCCTTCTGCAAACACTTTAAACATGACCAAAAGCTTTACAATGATCACACTGCATTGTTCTTGGGATAAATGCTCTGAATGTAGTTAATATACCCTAACTGCACTTGAGTATGGAGAGACTCCATATCAAAAAACAGATAGATTTCACCTTCTTTTCACTCACCACACGATTCATCCGACGTGCATCAATCACTCCTGTAATATTTTTTATCTCTTAAACATCTACTTCTCAAGAGACTCCAGATATAACCCCCTTGAGGGGTGCCCTGTTCCTAAGAGACACACACGACACTTCAAACTTATCAAATCGGGTGAGACGCAACACACGTTTCTTTTGATCCTCAGAAGCACAAAAAATCAAAACCAGCCCGCCTCTCTTGATCCTCACAGCCTTCACTCTACCCAGCACTCTCTCCACCAGTTTGGATATCTCAAATGGATTCCTCAAGATTGGTAATTTGATCAGCTGCTCCTCATTTACAAACCGTACTCCTACAAGATACGAAGTGACATTCTCATCACTGTACTCTACTTTGCTCCGTTTTCCTTTCTTTTGGACAATATTCCAATTCTCTTTGATTCTACCACCATTAGATTCAGAATCCATTTCATCATCCGCTTCCGCCATCTTTTTTCCGTCCGTCGCTACAGCACCCGGTGTCACAGGAAGGCCAAGAAAATCATCAAGGACCAGTTGTGGAGAAGTACAGATCAGGGTTGGGTTATAAAAAATATCTGAAACTTTTAACATCCCACAGAGCACCATTAAATCCATTATTTAAAAAATTGAAAGAATATGGCACCACAACAAACCTGCCAAGAGAGGGCCGCCCACCAAAACTCACGGACCAGGCAAGGAGGGCATTCATCAGAGAGGCAACAAAGACACCAAAGATAACCCTGAAGGAGCTGCAAAGCTCCACAGCGGAGATTGGAATATCTGTCCATAGGACCACTTTAAGCCGTACACTCCACAGAGCTGGGCTTTACAGAAGAGTGGCCAGAAAAAAGCCATTGCTTAAAGAAAAAATTAAGCAAACACGTTTGGTGTTCGCCAAAAGGCATGTGGGAGACTCCCCAAACATATGGAAGAAGGTACTCTGGTCAGATGAGACTAAAATTGAGCTTTTTGGCCATCAAGGAAAACGCTATGTCTGGCACAAACCCAACACCTCTCATCACCCCGAGAACACCATCCCCACAGTGAAGCATGGTGGTGGCAGCATCATGCTGTGGGGATGTTTTTCATCGGCAGGGACTGGGAAACTGGTCAGAATTGAAGGATGATGGATGGCGCTAAATACAGGGAAATTCTTGAGGCTAACCTGTTTCAGTCTTCCAGAGTTTTGAGACTGGGACGGCGGTTCACCTTCCAGCAGGACAATGACCCTAAGCATACTGCTAAAGCAACACGAGTGGTTTAAGGGGAAACATTTAAACGTCTTGGAATGGCCTAGTCAAAGCCCAGACCTCAATCCAATTGAGAATCTGTGGTATGACTTAAAGATTGCTGTACACCAGCGGAACCCATCCAACTTGAAGGAGCTGGAGCAGTTTTGCCTTGAAGAATGGGCGCCTGGTCAAAAGTTGTATTGGTTTCACTGCAACAGTGAAACATTGGCTTGATAGCAGTCTAGCAAGACATTGAATAAAATGTGATACTCTCGTTACAGATTTTTTGAAAACTTTATATGCATTTAATTTTGGGGGGAATTCAAGATATATTCTGTATATAGCCAAACTTTAAAAAAAGGCAACAATAAGCCTTCATCAGCTACATCACTGACAGGTGAAACAAACATTGTGAGGATACACATGACAGATGCAGCACAAACGGACCCATCTTCCCCAGAAAAAAGAACAATAGACTTTAGACTAGAGTACTGTGAATGGTTAAAGATGCACTATGCAGAAGTTCCTGGTTACTAAAATTCTAATTGTTCGCCTAATTTCAGTTTATGTCACAAAACAAGCAAGTATAGTGTAGAGAATCAGTGTACCATCTAAACTGCTGTGAAATATATTTTCCATAACCTAATATATTGTATTTTCAGCTGTTTGAAGCTGGTGTACAAAACCGAAAGTAAAACCTAAACTTAAGTACGGGAAGCATAGACATAGCGCACATAGAACAGATCTACTGCTTCTTAGACTTGCATTCACTGGAAATGACAGATCTATAACACATATTTCTATTGAATTTGGTAGTCGCCCAAAGAGTTACATATTGCAGCTTTAAATGGCTCATTTACTGGCCAATGACACGTTTGATTACACGAAACCATGGATCTATTCACATTACATCATGTCATAACAAAACATACAACATCACAATACTTAACAGAAGTGTGAACATAATATGGAATTCATTTTTGAACCTCTATTGGTATCAAAATCCCAGCAACCATGGATGGTTGCCATTAATTTTGTATACACAGTGAATATACCACATACTGCATTAATTCAGGAAGCAGCAGATACAATTCTAGTGAACTGAATATTCCCCTTGAGTGTGGTGGTGGGGCTGTGGTGGTATTTGATTGGTCATCTACAATAATGGTGGTGGTTGGTCAGGAAAGCAGCTGGATGATTTCCCTGGCTCTTTGTGTCCTCTGCTGGGCTTCTGTGTCCTGTTCCCCCTCCCCCTCCTGCTCCCGGACCAATGTCTCAGCCTTCTGCACGGTGGTGTCCCTGGCCCCCCCACGCAGGCCCTCCAGGTACGATAGAAGCACAGAGAAGTTCTCATCTGGGATCTGTGGAGACAGAGAATGAGATTTTGTCCGTATGCAAGAAAAGTTACGGCCTCATTTTCTTTTTAGGATTTTAAAGAAATACCTACAGTGGGGGAAAAAAGTATTTAGTCAGCCATCAATTGTGCAAGTTCTCCCACTTAAAAAGATGAGAGAGGCCTGTAATTTTCATCATAGGTACACGTCAACTATGACAGACAAATTGAGGAAAAAAAATCCAGAAAATCACATTGTAGGATTTTTAATGAATTTATTAGCAAATTATGGTGGAAAATAAGTATTTGGTCACCTACAAACAAGCAAGATTTCTGGCTCTCACAGACCTGTAACTTCTTCTTTAAGAGGCTCCTCTGTCCTCCACTCGTTACCTGTATTAATGGCACCTGTTTGAACTTGTTATCAGTATAAAAGACACCTGTCCACAACCTCAAACAGTCACACTCCAACCTCCACTATGGCCAAGACCAAAGAGCTGTCAAAGGACACCAGAAACAAAATTGTAGACCTGCACCAGGCTGGGAAGACTGAATCTGCAATAGGTAAGCAGCTTGGTTTGAAGAAATCAACTGTGGGAGCAATTATTAGGAAATGGAAGACATACAAGACCACTGATAATCTCCCTCGATCTGGGGCTCCACGCAAGATCTCACCCCGTGGGGTCAAAATGATCACAAGAACGGTGAGCAAAAATCCCAGAACCACACGGGGGGACCTAGTGAATGACCTGCAGAGAGCTGGGACCAAAGTAACAAAGTCTACCATCAGTAACACACTACGCCGCCAGGGACTCAAATGCTGCAGTGCCAGACGTGTCCCCCTGCTTAAGCCAGTACATGTCCAGGCCCGTCTGAAGTTTGCTAGAGTGCATTTGGATGATCCAGAAGAGGATTGGGAGAATGTCATATGGTCAGATGAAACCAAAATAGAACTTTTTGGTAAAAACTCAACTCGTCGTGTTTGGAGGACAAAGAATGCTGAGTTGCATCCAAAGAACACCATACCTACTGTGAAGCATGGGGGTGGAAACATCATGCTTTGGGGCTGTTTTTCCTGCAAAGGGACCAGGACGACTGATCCGTGTAAAGGAAAGAATGAATGGGGCCATGTATCGTGAGATTTTGAGTGAAAACCTCCTTCCATCAGCAAGGGCATTGAAGATGAAACGTGGCTGGGTCTTTCAGCATGACAATGATCCCAAACACACCGCCCGGGCAACGAAGGAGTGGCTTCGTAAGAAGCATTTCAAGGTCCTGGAGTTGCCTAGCCAGTCTCCAGATCTCAACCCCATAGAAAATCTTTGGAGGGAGTTGAAAGTCTGTGTTGCCCAGCGACAGCCCCAAAACATCACTGCTCTAGAGGAGATCTGCATGGAGGAATGGGCCAAAATACCAGCAACAGTGTGTGAAAACCTTGTGAAGACTTACAGAAAACGTTTGACCTGTGTCATTGCCAACAAAGGGTATATAACAAAGTATTGAGAAACTTTTGTTATTGACCAAATACTTATTTTCCACCATAATTTGCAAATAAATTCATTAAAAATCCTACAATGTGATTTTCTGGATTTTTTTTCTCTCATTTTGTCTGTCATAGTTGACGTGTACCTATGATGAAAATTACAGGCCTCTCTCATCTTTTTAAGTGGGAGAACTTGCACAATTGGTGGCTGACTAAATACTTTTTTCCCCCACTGTACCTAACTAGTATATTATAAAGGCAATATGTTCTATTTCAGGTGAGATACAAGTAAGGGTGTCTCACATAACAGGGAGGGATATTTGCACAGAAAGTAATGTCTGTTAATTGGCAGTTGAAAGGATACGCTCAACACAGATGATCAACCTCTCCCAACAGGGGGAGCCCTAAGATTGCTCTTTGGGGGTTTAGGTTTGACTATATGCAAGAAAAATGTTTGTAAAAAGCACAATCAATATCTGATTGATTGGATGGATGAAAAGGCTTTCCACTCAAGTCTTAGGACAGTTTACCTTCTCTGAGTCAAACATGTGCTGTAGTAACCACGTCTGCCTGGTCTTCTGGAACTTCCACTCCTTACGGTTCTTAGCCCAACTGCAAAGATGGAGAAAGACAAAATAGATAAGCCAGAGCTCACCTCCAACAAAGACCATGTTGTATTTAAGGTTGCTAACAAGCTACATTTTACTGTGATCATTCAGTATTGTAGCAAATTTGATAGCACAGTAGTACTCAAGCTGGGATGTGTTTGGGGACATTTACAGTGCTATGAAAAAGTATTTGCCCCCTTTCTAATTTTCTCTACTTTTGTATATTTGTGATACTGAATGTTATCAGATCTTCAACCAAAAACCTACTATTAGATAAAGGGAACATAAGTGAACAAATAACACAACAATTACATATTTATTTAATAAACAAAGTCAAACCATCACACCACCACCACCATGCTTGACCTTTGGTATGATGTTCTTACTGTGGAATGCAGTGGTTTTCGGCAGGCATAATGGGACCCATCTCGTCCAAAAAGTTGACTCAAGTTTGCCAAAAAGCACCTGGATGATCATCAAGACTCTTGGAAGAATGTTCTATGGACAGATGATTCAAAAGTATAACTTTTTGGACGATATGGTTCCAATAATGCCTGGCGAAAACCAAACTCTACATTCCACAGTAAGAACATCATACCAAAGGTCAAGCATGGTGGTGTGATGGTTTGGGGATGCTTTGCTGCCTCAGGACCTGGACGACTTGCCTTAATAGAAGGAACCATGAATTCTGCTCTGTATCAGAGAATTCTACAGGAGAATGTCAGACCATCCGTCTGTGAGCTGAAGCTGAAGCGCAGCTGGGTCATGCAGCAAGACAATGATCCAAAACACACAATCAAGTCTACATGAAAATTGCTAAAAAGCAACAAATTGGAAGTTTTGGAATGGCCTAGTCAAAGTCCAGACCTAATCCCAATTGAGATGTTGTGGCAGGACTTGAAACAAGCAGTTCATGCTTGAAAACCCACATGTCACTGAGTTAACACAGTTCTGCATGGAAGAGTGGGCCAAAATTCCTCCACAGCGACGTGAGAGACTGATCAACAACTACAGGAAGCATTTGGTTGGAGTCATTGCAGCTAAAGGTGGCACAACCAGTTATTGAGTGTAAGGGGGCAATTACTTTTTCACACAGGGGAATTGGGTGTTGCATAACAGTTTATGAAATAAATATGTAATTGTTGTGTTATTTGTTCACTTATGTTCCCTTTATCTAATAGTAGGTTTTGGTTGAAGATCTGATAACATTCAGTATCACAAATATGCAAAAGTAGAGAAAATTAGAAAGGGGGCAAATACTTTTTCATAGCACTGTATGTCCAACATACGGCAACATCGGCAGTGAAGAGAGCAATAAACAGAAGATATCTGTTTTACTTCAAGTCGGAGTGTGTGGGTGGGATTCATATGGTGCACTCTCCTCACTTACCAGGTAAGATAGTCTAGCGCCTGTTGGGGAGCAATGGGTTTGGAGGCCTCATCTTTGTCTTCCGTCTTCCCTTCAGCTTTAAGTTGATCCTTTTGCTCCTTTTTCAGAATCTTCTTCATTTTCCTCTCGAGGACTCTTCTCTCCTCTGGACTCAAGTCCTCCTCTCCCTCCATCACTTCATCTTCCTCCTCATCTTCTGCTGCAGCGGGGACTATGGTTGGCTCAGGAATCTGCTCAACAAAACCAAAGAGTCTTCATAATGTAATTTTTTTTTAAATCACACTGTCATATTTATTATCTCCACAATGTACTGGATAAGATTTGTTTTACTTTTATTGGACTTAACTACATATCAGATTTCATATCTCATACTGCTAAGGGATGGAGGTAAAACACAAGTGTGTGGTGTCTTGCCTCTCAACCTCGAATCCAGCTGGGCTGGGGCTACTTCCTGTCCCTTGGCTGTTCAAGGGCCATTTCCTGTATCTACAGAAAAATGAGGCCAACGAGACACGGATTCTGAAGTTCAATATGGTTAACCGCACCTCAGGTTAAATACAAAGAGCTCCTTTCCACATCCTGTCTCTAACAAGGTGAAAATAAACAGCCTTCCATCATATGCCAATCGTTACACATGACTTTTCAATTAAAGAGTCTGTGCAACTTCAGCTGTCTTTCAATACTGAAATGATGATCATAGTCTGGTGAAAGTATATTGAGCCACTTTAAAAGATGCAGGATTAAGACAAATTCAAGCTGTTAGAATTCAAATGAGCAAATAGGGAGAGAGCAGAGGGGCTGGGCGTTGGTTCAAGCTACAGCGAGACCACAGTGACACCCTTCAGGCTTTTTCAATTTCTGTGTATTTACATAGGGTGAAACCAACGTACACAGTTTGAAATAAGTCCAGTGAAAATAGTTCCATTGATGCTGAGAGCATTTTCCACTGTGAAAATAAATTAATCGAACTGCTCCAGAATTTTAGAAAAACAAAGTCATTGAGTTTTACTAAAACACATTCGGAAAAAGAGGAACTTGAGTAGAGAGAGGCAAAGGCTACATGTATCTTTGTACAAGAGAAGATTGAGGAATTGAAAAGATTTGGCATTTTTGATTGAGGGATACTTTCTTGGAAAAGTAAAGCCTATTACTTCCAAAAAAGAAGAGTGTAATTCATATGAAAAACACAGACACCTTCTCAGACGAACTCAAACAAGGGACACGTTTCTTGTGGGTTTCTGTAGTCATAAAAAAGAAAGAAAGGAAGAAAATATTTAGATCACGTGGCCACCACGTCATTCTGAGAATATGCTGGCTGGGTATAGCCAATGAAAATACAACAACCTCTCCACTGAAACTTGACGACTTGCATTGCTCGCCTATATCCACGCAACATGCATCAATCTCAGAGACTGAGGCTTTAGATCGCCTTAGCAGACTGAGTTAGTGAAAATAAACAGAAGACGCCAGCCGAAAGTGAAAATGGTAAGTGGAAACATTTGTTGCTTTGTGTGCAGTGACTTCCTCCCAATGTGAAGTAGTCAAAGCAGGGTATGGAGAGGTCTACGTGGTGATAGTCCACAAACCAACATCTACTTAGATACTGTCTATGAGAAATAAGGGACTGGGGGGTTCTCTACACTGCTGAGAGAGCCAACACAGAGCTGGCAGTGTGTGGTTTTTATATGTTGGTAAAATTAGCAATTTCTGCTAAACTGAATGACATGGTATACTGCATCTTAGTGCGATGCTCTTTCGGGAAAATAATTCCATGATCCCATGCAGAATGTCCAAACACATCCTTTTAGTGAGTAATGAAAGACAACTGGCCAATGACGATTGCTGGCCAAACGAGATTGCTATTGCAACATCTGAGGGGTATACGACAAAGCAAGATCAATGAGTTAGACAGCTAACTTGCCTAAATATTCTGAAATTACTTTGACTTTTTTAGGAAGATACACTTGAAATGGCCATGGTCCTATTGACTCAACACCCAAAAACACATATCTAAGTTTAGCATTCTTAAAGGGGCAGTGCAGTTAAAGTGATTTTACTGTTTTTTAAATGATATTTCCACAATATGAGGTCGAAATAACACTGAAATTGTGATAATTATGATAATGCCATTTTTGTGTAAGAGCTGTTTGAAGGAAATTCCTGGAATTTCAGCCTGTTCAGGTGGGATGGAACTTTTTGCCCACATCATGACGTCACAATGTGATCTGATTATTACAGACCAATGAACATCCTATCAGCCAATCAGGGCTGTGTATGTAAATATCTTCAAATTTGTTTCCTAACGCCCACACGACCAGACTGATAAATTCAAGGGCCAAAGGAGGCTCAGGGAATTAAATGATAAATATATTTTGGAGTTATTTTCATTAAATAAACACAGTGATTTATTAGACATACAGTGATGGTTTAAAAATAACATTACAAAGACTGCATGGAGGCTTTAATGAACCAGAAAATCAATAGTTTTTTTTTCTGTTTGTTTATCAAAGTTACAGTGCCTTCAGAAAGTGTTCACACCCCTTGACTATTCCACATTTTGTTGTGTTACAGCCTGAATTCAAAATGGATTAAATAGAGATGTTGTGTCACTGGCCTACACACAATACCCCATAACGTCAGTGTTTTTAGACCTTTTTACAAATTAATTAGAAATGAAAAGCTGAAATGTCTTGAGTCAATAAGTATTCAACCCCTTTGTTATGGCAAGCCTAAATAACAAGTCACATAAGTTGCATGGATTTACTCTGTGTGCAATAATAGTTTTTAACATGATTTTTGAATGACTACCTCATCTCTGTACCCCACACATACAGTTATCTGTAAGGTCCCTCAGTCGAGCAGTGAATTTCAAACACAGATTCAACCACAAAGATCAGGGAGGTTTTCTAATTTCTCGCAAAGAAGGGCACCTATTGGTAGATGGGTAAAAATATAAAAAAAGCAGACACTGAAGTTATTAATTACACTTTTGGATGGTGTATCAATACAACCAGTCACTACAAAGATACAGGTGTGTTTCCTAACTCAGTTGCCGGAGAGGAAGGAAATCGCTCAGGGATTTCACCATGAGACAATGGTGACATTAAAACAGTTACAGAGTTTAATGGCTGCGATAAGAGAAAGCTGAGGCTGGATCAACAACATTGTAGTTACTCCACAATACTAACCTAAATGACAGAGTGAAAAGAAGGAAGCCTGTACAGAATTCAAATACTCCAAAACATGCATCCTTTTTGCAATAAGGCACTAAAGTAAAACTGCTAAAAATGTGGCAAAGAAATTAACTTTATGTCCTGAATACAAAGAGTTATGTTTGGGGCAAATCCAACACAACCAGCGCTTAATTTGAGCCGGATCCTACCCCTCTCAGTTTTGGACTGTTTCATTCCGGAACCCATTTGCCAGGATTCGGTACCTTTCTTTGCATGAAAAATTATTTTCACAGTTTGCAATGTAAAAGTTATAATTAAAGCAATCAAGAGTTCATTCAAGTTGCTTCCTCTGTAATTCTCCTGCCACCTAAATAAAGTAATGTGAAAACGTGCCTGATATTCTAAGAATTGATTTGGGCCGGCCTGGGTTTATGCAGCATTGTAGCCTATAGACCAACGCGTGGCCATTGCTGTGGTGAGAGAGAAGTGCACCTGTATCTCTCACAGAACTAGAATGACATTCACTTTATATGATCTCTCTCCCTCTCTCAGATAGACATGAGCCTGCAACTCTCCTCTCTCCAGCGTTGCACTTCATAATTTATTTCCTTATAGAATCATAGCCGCAGGAACGGTATCCAGAGCGACTTACAGGAGCAATTAGGGTTAAGTGCCTTGCTCAAGGGCACATCGACAGATTTTTCACCTAGTCGGCTCGGGGATTAGAACCAGCGACCTTTCGGTTCCTGGCACTATGCTCTTAACCACTAAGCTACCTGCCGCCCATTTGAATTGAAATACATTTGCCAAAGTTATAGAATTACTGCTGTCTGTTCAGAAAGAAATGAAATAATTCAGAAGACTACTCCAGGAGTAGGACTATAATTTAGCCACAGAGGATCAATAGCTTCTTTTTATTTTTTATAGCCTAGCTGTGGATTGTGTGTTGCCCAATCACAAGGCATGCCTACAGTTGGGAATGTGCAGCAAATCTGTCAGTGAACAGCATTCAACCAAAACAGGCATTTTGCCATATTTCACAGCATTGTTTTACAAAGTAAAACAAGAGAGGCTTTTGACACAACGGCATCAGCCATCGCCGGTGAGTGAGATGCGCATCATTGGGTGAGTCAGTGAAACTGGAAATATTTTTTAGGACTATAATTTCCTCCTTATGTTGTACAATATGTGTGTCTCCACATACCTAGACCTAGGCTACCGATGGAGTCAAGACAAGGTCGTTTTTATTGATCTCAGTTTGTCAGTGTCAAAGTGGGCTGTCATTCCGATCATGTGATTTATTTTTTATCTGCTAAAGTCTTATGCCATATAAAATGATGTAGAATTGCATGAAATGCAACTATAAAAAGGCAAAAAAAATTGCAGACACTAGACTACCAACTTTTCCCTCCATTTGTGAAACTTCTGCAAGCCACTCTACTCTACGCCAGTATGCAAAAGCGATGATAATGTAAGCAATGCTTTATTATAAAAAATAAAATAAAAATCTTTCTTTCTTTTTTCTTTTCTTTTCTTCATACATACCAGTACCTCAGAACTGGCTGTCTAGCAATGATCAACAAACAATTTGACAGAGCTTGAATAATTTAACAGAACAATGTGCAAATATTGTACAGGTGTGCAAAGCTCTTCGAGACTCACAGCTGTAATCGCTGCCAAAGGTGATTCTAACATGTATTGACTCAGGGGTGTAAATACTTATGTAAATTAGATTTCGTTATTTCATTTTCAATAAATTAGGAACAATTTCTAAAAACATGTTTTTACTGTCATTATGGGGTATTATGTGTAGATGGGTGAGAAAAAAATATATTTAATCAATTTTGAATTCAGGCTGTAACACAACAAACTGTGGAATAAGTCCAGGGGTATGAATACTTTCTGAAGGCACTGTAGCTGGCTAACGCATTGAACCTGCTTAGTAATATAACTCCTCTGGATACCAGTCCAAACACATTCAGTAGCAACACCCTGTAAAGGACAAAAGGCTTCTGACACCGGTTTGGATGTTTCTTCATATCTATACGTTTCATCAACTCTTTCTTTGGTTTGACTGTATTGGCATTCAGTTTATAATGTCATCTTTGGTTTGTAACTGCAGGAACAAAGCAAATGCTAAGTGACTGAACATTAGATGGTGATGTTGTTATAACTGGAAGTGTTGTTTTGTCTCATCAATGAAAATTGGATTGTGTACTCTCTTATTGTTCTAAATCGCCATGTGTTCTTTTCTCCTCATTGGACACAAGGCAAATCAAACAGATGTTCTGCTCCAGACTGAGATGAGTACCGTCATGCAACCCTTCAACATCACCTCAACATCCAGCACCAGCCCCCTCAACACCATCATCCCCTCAGACGTCATTGCCATAATCGCAGCCAACGACCTAACATCCAGGGCCAACTACGTCTATGCGCTCTGTGCCACGCTGGGCATGACCTCGGCATGCTTTGTACTCTACGGCTTAATTCAGTCCTACAGAGCCCAGAGGAGTCTGGCATGG